GCTCCCTGCCTGCGCCAGCCAGGATGGAGAGGAATGCAGGGATACTATGAGCTTTCCTCTCACTGCCTGACAGTGATGGAAGGGGAATAGTAAGCAACAAGCAGGATGCCTTGTGGCGGGGGAGGCTTGAGGTTGCGGCAGTCTCGGACCAGTGTGGTGGCGCACCTACAGCCAGTCCTTTGACCAGCCTGGCTGCCTGAGGGAGAGCCCCCCACGTGCTCCTGCAGCAGAGTGCCTCAGCTGGCCAGCTTCTTCTTGCTGGAGTAGTACACCAGGGCCCGCCACTCGACTTTCACCTCTGGCTCTGAATCTGCTATGAGCCTTCAAAAATGTATACACCTTAATAGGACTATTCACAGTGCATTAAGTTAAGCGTGCATGTAATGCCTTGCAGGATGGGTTTAAGATTGTTACATCTTGGAGACAAAATGGGGTCTTAGGATTTGAAAGTGTATTACTCTGTGTGTACAGCATGTAGCAGAATGGGGCTCACACTTGATTAGGATCTTTAGATGCTACTGTAGTGCAAAGTAATAAAAAAAATATTGAAGTGTGTATGGAGTTCAGCAGAGCCTCACTATCATGAATAATTTTAGTGACTTGCATATAATATATTCATATTTGTTAACGCAAAGTGCTAATCTCATGCATAAAAAAAATTAAACAAATTTTGCCATCAAACAAGTGTGTGAAACCTATTGAAATCACATTAATCTGAGAGTTAATTCTAACACATGGGAATAAATATATTTTTAAGCTAAATAACTGGCTTTTATGTATGAGCCACAGTGCATAGCATATATAGATTAGAGAGCTTTTCTGTCTGAATTTAAAAGTATTCTTTAATATAATTCATTAGCGTTACTGGTAATACATTAAGTTTCAGAGAACAACTATTGTGTAAAATAGTCCTTTATATGATAACTGTAGACCATATAACTCCATGAAAACTACCATAAAGTGGTAGATTAACCACAGCACATACCTTTAGAGAGAAAATACATGATTATTTCTGTTTTCCAAGTTGCACTCTAAGGTTACACAATATCTTCTGAAACTCTTACGTGTAATTATTATTGGACTTCTTTGTATCTACACAAATACTGTCAGGCCTGATTCAGCAAACCTTACTCACATGTTTAGTCCCATTGATTTTAATAGAACAAGATGCATGAATAAGAATTGCTCATTTTAGTAAAGGCTGAAGAATTGAGTCCATAGGATATATTTTTGAAAAATGAATTTTTGTAGAATTCCAGAAAGGACATTGTTTCACAAGAAAGCAAGCAGCGCACTTTCAGATGAGTGCCGTGAGAGGAAGAAACAAACCAAAAATGTGACACTCGTAAACTACTATCTCACTCTGGAATGGTTCAATGGTTTAATGAGGTTAATTTGTGTTAGGTTGAGGGAAATTCTTTATCTGCTGCATAGAAGCTTTCATTTCACATGAGACTGACAGATATTGTACTTACTGCACTGGAACTTAATTATTTGATAGCACAAGGAACTGAAATCCCCACATTTCTTCTCTAGGACCATTCACAATGTACTTTAGATAGTAAGCAGAAACTAGAATTTAGTTTCCCTAGATTTTTAATGTGTTGGAGAGCCAGGAGAGCCTTTTCTGGGACGTTTTATTTTTCTACCTCCAAAAATGGAAACAGTTTTACGAAATAGTCTCTGCAATGCAATCATTAGCATTGGGTTATTTTTGCTCTAATCCATTCTTTACATATCACAACATCTTTTGAAATGCTTTTCCTTGCCATTCACAAATGTAAATGATCGTTTCATTTAATTAGATTACTTTGGCATAAAAGCTTTGGAAAATGCCCCATTTTCTCTCTAATGACTACAAAGTAAGAAATTAGCTATCTTGAAAAGTTTTTGTTTCAGCAAGTACTTTTTTCCCTCAAAGCATTGAACAATAACCGAAATTCACTAACTAGCTTGCATTTCAGAGGACTATTGAAGCATGGAGGTGATGGTTTATTTCTGCTTAGAAGGTGTATATGGAATTTCTAGAGAGCCAGTCAAGCTGCGTAACTCTACTAAATAGGAGAGCATAGAGGCAAACAAAATTTCATAACCAATGAGACAAATCAGAATACAAACACGAACTGAAATCTAATAGAGAGAAAAATAAGCAGGAACAAATTCACAACTTGACACTAAATTTACTTTTCTTTATAGCTTCAGTGTCAGGTTTGTTATATGAATCTCATGTCAAGTTGGTGAAATAAATTTGTGTTAGTTTGGGTGTGGGTGTAAATTTGAAATGCTTAAGTGCCTGTTATAATAAAAATTAATGTAACTTTTCAGAATAGGTTTGTGTGTCCACTCTATGATCATGCTGCATATTATATGTAAGAAACATAATGTATAAGTGATTTATTTTACTGTATACGCAAGTAAAGATGCTCTGTTCTCTATAAAACATATAAAAACTTAGTTGATAAAATATATGTAATTCTATTAATCAATTTGTTAACATGCAATGTTAACCCATATAAATGTTTGCAAAGCAATTAAAATAATTTTTACTGTGGTTACCCAATACTAATAGACCTAAAAATAAATATCATATAAAAAGTCTCAGGATATTGGGGTAACATGCTCCAGTAACTTCCTAAAAAAGTTCAGCATCTCTCTTTCTCAGTTTTATCAACAATAGTTAAAGCTTTTAAAATATGGAAAAACATTTACTTGAGTTCAATTTTTTTGAATTTCTCACCTGATATGTCACTTTTCAGTGGAGCATAATCTGCATGACCATCGTTTGATCAGTCACATTGTGCTATATCATTTCAGCTGTAACTCTGTGCAAACTGATACTAACACTGAGATGTGTAGAGAGTGTTTAGAACTGTCACAAGCTGTTTCACTGTCTTTATTTTGGTGAAAAATATGTGATTACTTGAATATAATATTTTAAGCAGTAGCTTCCAATTTGGTAGCTAGGATCCGGGCTGCCCCTTTTTAGCTGTGCATGGGCATAGATAGCAATTAAGTGGTTGCAGTTGACAATAATTGTCCTTGCACTCTGGCAAGGAGAGGAATTGGCTTGTTACTGCTCTGTGTTCTCTCAGGGAGAAAGACTCTGAAAAGGGGTCAGTGAAGAGGCTTGGTTATGGCCCTGCTTCTGCTTCTCCTCACCACTGGTCCACAGAGTGGAGCTGGCTCAGAGGAGAGAATCTGTTCTATCTTAACAGGTAGTACAATCTCTTTAGTGTTCACCTTGGAGTCCCATGGTTCAGCAATGGCTTCAAGTTAAGGGCTAAGGCTTAAATTCATCTGGTTTTAAGAATATGGGCTGCTGGCTGGAAAGGGCAATTTGCTTTGGAACAGTGATAGATTCCTCACACATTGTAGCATGTTAATTAAAAACAAAGTCAAAATCTGCTTGTAAAAGGGCCCATTCCTACATGGCAAATCTCCCATTAGAGCCTCACCTTTTACATTTGCTTGCCAATTCAGGTAACCTTCTGCTGACGTTCCAACTTTTGTAATTTGTGTAGGAACGGGGTGGAGGGAGTCTTTATTCTTGATAACATTTGATAAAATATTTTGCACTTGCTACCTTTCCAGTGCCCCCTCTCTGGGTATGTCTATACTACCCCGCTAGTACGAACTAGGAGTGCAATGTAGGCATACCGCACTTGCAAATGAAGCCCGGGATTTGAATTTCCCGGGCTTCATTTGCATAAGCCGGGCGCTGCCATTTTTAAATCCCGGCTAGTTCGAACCCCGTGCCGTGCGGCTAAACGCGGCACGGGGTTCGAACTAGCCGGGATTTAAAAATGGCGGTGCCCGGCTTATGCAAATGAAGCCCGGGAAATTCAAATCCCGGGCTTCATTTGCAAGTGCGGTATGCCTACATTGCCCTCCTAGTTCGAATTAGGAGGGTAGTGTAGACATACCCTCAGTGATGCAAAAATAACTACCCAAGGCTGAGCATTGTAGACCTTAGGAATGGAAATTTTGCATAATACTTGCTAGTAGTCTCCCTAAGGTTACATCACTCAATCTCATTTTGGTACAATACAGGTTCTATGTATAGACAGTGACTGTATTACTGTCCGTGATCTGCCCTGCAATTTCTAGCAGCCCCTGGTGCAGCTTGCTGTCTCTGTAAGTTTTGATTAAATGAAAATGATGCAATAACTAGTTACTATACCTTGAAGAATTAACCTCTCCTCCAGGCAGATCTTCTCATGAGACTGCTGTAGTCTCAGGGCTGCAGTAGCTCTTGTGACTGGTTAGCTGATCCTGAAGCAAAAGAAAATGGTTAATGTGTCTGAGTAGTCAGTGATTCACTGTCTCCCAAACCGGCTTTGCACTGTAAAGAAGAAAGCTCCATGACATGATGGGGGAATCATGGTCCCTTCATAGGGTCTCCAAATCCTGCCACATGTCCTTAATGGAACTGCATGCTGACTAATGAAAAAAAGCCACACAAACTACAAGTGGGACATTCCGTGTGTCCTGAAGAAAGATGCTGGGACATCACATAAAAACCTGGAGAATCTATCTGAGGACAGGTGGTCATCTTACATATATATATATATGCATTCCAAGTGTTATTTTAACATTGAGGAACTTTCTTTCCTGGGTGTCACACAAAGAAAAATATATTTTATTAGGTTTATACAGCAATGTGAGTACCTATGATATAATGGAAATAAACATATTTTTTCATGAAGCCTTTTTAGTACCTCTATGGGTTTGTTCCACTGAAATGGTACAATGTACATTCTTCTCTGCTTGCCCTTGCTCACCATACATTTTCTGCCTAAGACAATTATGCTATGTTGAGTAAAGAAATACACTTTGCAAAGTAGAGTTGGTATCATTGTAATTCTAAAATTTGTGCTGTGCATATTCTTTTATAGAGCTAAATGTAATATATTTCTCATTTTAAAAAAAATCTCCAAAAAACCTGTACCATCCTACCTAGCCATGTTATCACCATCTTCACCTTCTTTTTGTTTGCACAGCTCACCATGTTAAAACTGGAACCTGTGAGGTGGTGGCTCTCCACAGATGTTGTAATAAGAACAAGATAGAAGAAAGGTCACAGACAGTCAAGTGCTCCTGCTTTCCTGGGCAGGTAGCAGGTACCACCCGAGCAGCTCCTTCTTGTGTTGATGGTGCGATGACTTCTCTTACTTCATTTTGTCTTCTTTTTGCTACTGAGTCATTGTATTTTTGCTAGTGAGTTTTGTAATGCTTAGTGTCAAAATTGGAAATCTTTCTTCTAAACCTAGCAGTGTTTACAAGTGTAATAAAGGATGCTGAGATTTGATGGGCATCTCCAAGATGAGTAGGGGAGAGGGGGATATGAAAAATGAATTATTCACTCTTACATTATGGAAACACAAGGGATGTGTCTAGACTACAGGGTTTTGTTTTTTTTAAAAAAGTGGCCTTTTTTGGAAAAAACTTCACCTGCGTCTAGACTGCTGTCTCATTTTTTCAAAATTAAATCGAAAGAACGCGGCAGATTTTTCGACCACGGAAAACCTCATTTTACGAGGAATAACACCTTTTTTCGAAAGTACTCTTTCAAAAAAAGGCACTATATAATGCAAACTGTGCTTTTTCAAAAGAGAGCATCCAGACTGCCTAGGTGCTCTCTTTCAAAAAAGCGGCTCTCTTTTTCGAAAGTACTGGTTGTAGTCTAGATGCTCTTTTTCAAAAGAGGTTTTTTCAAAAGTATCTCTTGAAAGAGGCTTGCAGTCTAGGCGTAGCCTCAGTGAAATCATTGGATGACAGTGAAATAGACCTCTTGAGAAGCAAAATGTGATTTAAATAATAAAATGATCTTAGTGTTATATCAAGTTGATTTAATTAAAAGAGTTTATGCATAAGCTCCATCAGCATATTATTTTAATATGCTGCAGTCTCATACTTTATTAATCTGTTACTTTGCCACAAAGCAAGCAAAACCAAATAAGCAGAGCATAATTTGACTCAATTTTACACTTTTTAGACCAACATTATTCGAGCAATATTAATATTATATTCAACAAAAGTGGCATTAGCATATATGTTTTATTTGGGAAAATATTGGCTCATTTTGCATGACTCTGTCTAGTTTAAGCTTTACATGAACTATTTACTATTAATATTTTGCTGTCATAGAAACAGTAAGTATATCATCTTCAGCGAATACATTTCATCATACACAGGAATTTACAGAACTTCAAAAACAATACATTAACTCAATAGATGAGATTGTGCCACACTTAGAAATCTTCACTTGGAAAGAAGAATTGTTGATTGAAAAGGATTATTGTGAAATTTGTTTTCGAAGCAAGACAAATGTAAAAAAAAAAGTAGCAATAGTAATAATATTAATTAAAAAGAGATGCTGGTGCCAAATTCATAGTGTCCTTGACAAATAATCTTATTTATTTTGAAAGATTCTGACTTTCAATGTAGCAGTTGGTCAATATATTTTTTACTAAAAGTTTGTGGAGAATAAAATCGATGCTGCCATGTAATGGGGATGTAAAGTGACCATTTACTGAATATATAAATGTGTTTGTTCTTCTCTCTCATAGCTTCAATAGTGGAACAGAAATGGTGGTGTCACATGCAACCATGTCTTGAAGGGGAGGAATGTAAAGTTCTTCCAGATCGGAAAGGATGGAGCTGTTCCTCTGGGAATAAAGTGAAAACAACTAGGGTAGGTATAGTATCATCATCACTTGTTGTCAACTAAAAACTAAAGCATAGGCCCTAAATAAATACTTGGAAGGAAAGAACCAAGAAGAATAATGAGGTGTGGGTTGGCAGTTATATTGAGGTTGCTTTCCTGACCCTGTACACTTCCTTCAGAATACTTCGCAGTTGATTGATCATAGTGCACATTGCTCCTGCCATTTTCAGGGCTGATTAACGCAGAGAATAGAATCAACCACCTTTTCAGCTGCTACTACTAATAATTTATTTTTTAAAAATGTGATCAGTTTATCCTTCTATAACTGGCTGCAAAAAGCCAACGCACCCTGCTAATTTTGTAAAGTTCCAATATCATGAGATATTGGTATAAAAGGTATAAAACAAATACACCTTTGTCAATTACTTGAAATTATATTTCTACACAGAAACTATTGAATATGGTAAGCATTTGCTGTGTCATCACAGAATAATCTTCTGGTTATTTATGTCTCGTAAAACTGAATTATAACAAAATTTTGACTGGTGCAATATGTTTCTTTTAAAATATGACACTTTTCATATTATTTGCTCAAAATTGCATTAGAAGAAATCCATCTAATATTTGTTAAATGTGATGCACTGAAAACAAAGTAAACCTGGTGTTATCTGTGCTTTCTAATTGCTAAAACAGGAAAAATTATAACAAATTAACTAAGATAATGCTAAGCATTAAATACTCAGATTTCTAGAACCCACAGCTTTAAGTCCCTGCAGGTTCAATTAAACTTTTAATCTTTGTGAGGCAAACTAAGGATCCATCCTTCAAAGTTTGCTATCTGTGCTCTGAAGGGTTAATCCTATCTCTCTCTCTCTCTCTCTTTCTCTCTCTCTTTATATATATAATGAATTTGAATCTTTGGTACCCTTGATTTTTAAGAAACCCTGGAATACCTACACTGCTATTAGGAGGATGAATGCCGTCCTTGTCTTAAGGAAGTATCTTGTTATCAAAAGCGAGTGCTGATCCCTAATGTTTGGAGGCTGCAGTGGATTTGGAGCTCTTTTCTATCCTAAAAGGTTCTAAGTGAAAGAAAAAGTTGCAAAATGTTTGAAACCAGTTGAGAGTCAGAGAAAAATAATAACAGAGCCCAGCAAAGATTCCGTATTAAGAGAGCAAGTATAATGAGCTTTTTTTGTCAAATGAAGCAGCCCATATACAATGGTCATGTATAATGTAAAACCCACTGAAGCCAAAGGGAGTTAGCAAGTTGTGTGATTTAAACACACAGCAGCATCTGTGAAAGCCTTGCTAAAAGCAATGTAACATATTAGGTCTCAATTCACCTCTAAGCACTGGGTCAAATTTTCCTCTTCAATAATACATGTGAAAATAGCAGTTAGATCATAGCCTCATAAACACTTGCAGTGCAATCCTCCTCTAAAAAGGTATCTGATTTCAAAACAGCACCTGGATTTCCAGACCCCAGGATGGCAGAAATGGACTATTAAGTTAGGGAAGGGAGCTGGCTTCTGGAGCAAGAGGTTTTTTTCATGCCCAGTTCTGGTAACATATAGTGTCACCCTCTGATGGCTGTGGTATTAGTCACTAATGAAAGAGTGAGGGTTAATAATGCAAGAATACTTATTGATTTGTCTAAAATGTGACCTGGCTGAAGTGTTGTATGCTTTTCAGAGACATCTAAGAAGAATATGTATGAATAATTGTATTTATAAATTAAAATCCTAGGATATTCAGGGCAGATACTATTTACATCAAGAATGCAGAAATAGGCATTATGGATTGCATTACAATGGATTCCCAGACCCTACAATGTTAGGATACAGCTAACAGAGTAGCGGTCTAATGAGTTAAAAAGGATTAATCATAGAGAAGCAATATCTCTGGAGAAGAAGAGTTTGGGGTCTGATTAACATGTTTTAGTCTGTTGGAGATTGTATTTGGAAGGGTGCCTCTGTATTCAGAGTGGTTTTAGGAGACTATTGCTAATCTAGCTAAAATGGTGATTTATTTTTAGGGAGAGATCTTGGAGTATATGCCTGCTAGGGCTTTGCACTGGAACTGGAGAGGGTGTTTAAAAATAGATTATTAAAGCTATGAAATAAAGATAGTGCTGAGATTTTCCAGAGACAACATAGGGTCCAGGATGCAGTTCTAGCAAAATGTTAAGATGGAGTTGGTTGTTGCTTTTTTACATGAAGTTTTCATTTTTACTTTAACTTTTGCCCCCTTATTTATTGTCAAAAAATAAATTATTTTTTCAGAACAGTAAGCATTTGGATTTAATTTTGAAATAATTTGTTTATAATTTTTGGTCTCATTCTTTTTCTCAAATTTTATATTTTTTCAGATAGGAAAAAAAACCAAGAAAAGCAACACCTCCTTTTACCTATTAATGTTTAATAATTTTTTTTCCCCATGAACTTTTCATTGAGGGAAAAAGAGAGGGAAGTGGAGAAAAATGGGAGGATTAGAATTTCCCTTCTGGCTGGAAAACCAAAAAAATGTATTTGAATTGTTTTTTTCCTTGAAAAAAATTCATTTTCAATTAATCTACTTTTCCAAGACACAAACTGTAGTTGAAAAACAAAATCTTTGACTAGCTCTAGTGAAGAATTTAATCTGCCAAAGAAAATCAGCCAAAGGCAAGATTGCTTTCTTACAGTTGGTGAGAGTCTTTGAAATGATTCTGAGTGCTTGGATCTCAGAAAGAGAAGGTCTCTAAGAAGAACCAGGGGACTTCAAGTGTTCATCAGACTTACAAAGACTTTGACAGGAGAGTCTCATCAAATATGTGCACAGAGGCAGGACTGCTGGAAGAGTCATTGTAGGATAAACTAAGTTAGCCCGAGGCATACATAATATGGTATAATTATGTTAGAGTGAGTTTGCTTCCTTTATCATTAAGGACAAGCTTGTGTTACTATTATTTCCTGTGTTTTCTGGCGTCTCATGTTGTTCTTTATTTTATTTTGTAAGTAGCATTTGGATCCTTCCCCCATCTCTTTTCCTTTTCCTTAGATTTTGTTCTGAGGCCATGTCTACACTATGAAACTATTTTGAAATTACTAAATTCTACTTAAGAACTCTAGATTTAACAAATTCGAACTAGTGTGTACACACTATGGGGAAACATCAAAATTAGTCTGATGCAGGCTCTGTTAATGTGGATGCACTACCTTGGACTGGGGAGCTCTGTGAGGCTTCCTGGAGGTCAATAAATTCAAATTAGTGGCACTGGAGCATCTACACTACCATTATTTCAAAATCACTATTTTGGAATTAGTGTTACTCATTGTGAAAAGCAGGAGTATGGAGTTGAATTCTGCAGCCCCTTATTTTGAAATAACAGGTTTGGTAGTGTAGCTGCACCTCTTGTAAATTCAAACATGGGGGAGTTATTTCAGAATAAGATCCTAGTGTAAACCAGGGCTGAGTGTATATAATTCCTCATTTATTTCATCCAATTCTTGTGACCTATTCCATTTGGCTAGAAGTGAGTAAAATATTTTTGAACAATAAGGGAGATCAAAATGTTTCCATCCTGCCTTAAACAAACTGAAAAAAATAGGTGTTGGTATCATAAGTACTTTTCTAAGGAAGTGCATTGCTAAGGATGGATTCTACTACAAAGAGAATGTCTCTGACAGATTAAGGTTATTAATTTTCAACACGCTGCAAAGATGTACCTAAATTTAAAAGGGGAATAAGGAGTGCACATATGCATGCTGGCACACAGTTGCACAGAGAATAAGATGTACATACCATATCTTTATTTTGGTGCACAGCTGCACATATTTTTATTAAATCTAGGTCAAAATGAAAACTATGGATTGGAACACCCAGAACATCAGAGGAATTTGAATTCTGAACTCATATCAATGGGCTGTATCAGAAATGTTGTACTATATGACGTTCCCGATTTCTATCTGAGTGCAGATTACAGACTTGCACTGTGCTGTGGCTATTTGATGTGTGCATTTTTCATCATGCCAAAGTAGGTGAAGAACGTGAAGAAATTCAAAAAAGTTACATATTAGAATTCACGCTGAAAACTTTCACCACAAAAAGATTCTGGCAGTGAGTTGTCATGCTGGGGTCCTTTTTAATTGACGTTCCCGATTTCTATCTGAGTGCAGATTACAGACTTGCACTGTGCTGTGGCTATTTGATGTGTGCATTTTTCATCATGCCAAAGTAGGTGAAGAACGTGAAGAAATTCAAAAAAGTTACATATTAGAATTCACGCTGAAAACTTTCACCACAAAAAGATTCTGGCAGTGAGTTGTCATGCTGGGGTCCTTTTTAATAAAGCTGTGAAGACATTCCTGTTCAGGAGCAAAGGTGAAAGTAAGCTGGTGCTCCCCAGTGTGCTCTTCTGGCAAGAAGGAGCCAACTGGGGCACCTAGCTGCAGAAGGTGGTGCGACGTGCTCCCAGCTGGACTCCTGGGATTTCCTGCAGGCTGCCATGCTAAGCAGTAGGCAGGAAGGTTAAGGGGGCCAGTTGGGGGTGTGCTCCCCTACTGGTTGGGGACTGCCCTCAGGTTCAAGCCTCCCCCGCCCATGGCACCATTCAGGGAGAGCAGGGGGAGATGAAGCCCTCCTACCCCTCCGAGATTCATGTGGGAATGCTGCTAGCTGTTCCTCTTTCTGTTAGAAAGTGAGAGGAAAACACACAGTGTGTATGCATTCCTCTCCCTCCCGACTGGGGAAGGTTGGGGACACAGAAGTGAATGACCCAAGTTGTGAACTTTCCTCTCACTCCCTCAGAGTGATGAAGGGGAATAGCAAGCATCCCCCTGGTACGAATTTTGAGGGCGGGTCTTCAGCCCCCATGCCTTCCTTAAATAGTGCCCTTGCCTGCCTGCACTCCCCCATCCACACATACACCAGCCACCTGCCCTGCACCCTCCCACCCCATACCTGTCTCCTGTATTCCCCCCCCACGCACCCAAACCTCTTCCCTGAGCCCCTCTTCACGTACCCAAACTCTGACTCTTGCCTCA